AGACTTAAATATTGCTGAACAATGCTGTTTAAAAAGGGTTTTGAGACTTAAGTCAGCAGTATTCATTTTCCCATTGATTTTATAGGGGTCAGTAGGGGGGTCAGTGTTTTGTCGAAAACCCGTTTTAAGTAACCTATCATGCCCATTTAAAGAGATGAATAGCCCCTTGCACCATATTTTAATGCTTTAGCAAGGTTACTCTTGAAAGAGACGTAGTCAGTATGCGATGACTGAAGAACAAGCCTGTGAAAACAAGCTTTACTTTCAGGCAGGCTTGTTACTTCCCGTGTGTCATCCAGCTGTAGCCAAAGTTGCTGTCCATATGGTGGCAAAACCTCCCATCCTGTCCAAAACGACAGTAGATCACGCAGACCAGAACCAGCTGCAATGAGAAGACATAACAAAGGCATCACTATAAAGCATCTGAACATGAAATTCCTCCTAGGCAACAATATTCGTAATGGCAAATATAACTTTTCAATGCTTTCACTTTTACATGCTCGGAATGTTTACTTTTCTTTAGCAGTAAAGACACGAGGTGGCTAATCACTGTTACCCTACAACTGAAATTACATCGAGCAATGAAAATCCTGCTAGTGGAATTATCTATCCCCCATACAGTGTTTGAGGAATGAAATGCTCAAGGATAAATGGCTTAAATTCACTGGGGAAAGAAGAGGTACTGGAAGAAGAATAGAAAACGATAGTAGACATAGCTGAGGTAATCACTTACCTTCTGCTTCTCTGCTAACTTCATCGATGAAGCGATGCAAGAATCCCATGATAACTTGCCCTTGGGGGTTGTTTTCATCCTCGATGGAAATCCTACCCTTGAGTTCTTCTTTGTCAATTACTGACTCGCATTCCCTGGGAAACACGGCTGCGGCCATTTCCTTGTGTGCCTTTAGGTAATTGACAAGGGAAAGCTCATTCATTCCTGCAGCAAGATCTTTCAGTTCACGGTGGCGCTTTTCGATCACATTGTGCAGCATTATCTGCTGGAGAACCAAGTGCCGTTTCTCTCCCCTTAGCGGCACTTGAAGTACTGACGCTTCATCACGATAAGGCAAGAGGAATTCTTTAAGTGCATCTGAGGGTTCTTCATCCTTGTCAAGACTTGATAACTGCAAAACCGTTAAATTGCTATGGTGTTGTGACTGAACAATGAAATGCTTCTTACGACAAATTATAAACTTATAGTGTCATTATAGATGTATACACCTATTTGGAACACACTTGTGCCTTTTTTCAAATATAAACAGGACAGTACAAGTGCCATATCAAACAAAAATTAACCAGAATAAATATTGTTAGTAACACTAACATGTTGCTGAAACATTACACAGAAATACGTAAGTAATGTCTGTACAAAACAAGATCATCAATGCGAGTACCTGCTTCAAGGCTTGTCGAAGGTCATAATCTGGGATGTCCTCCATGGTAACAGCTTCACTGATGCTTTCACGAGTCCAAAATTCAAGCACTGCTGGGGAAAGTCCATAAAGTGGTGGTCCTCCATGCAAGAAAGAATGTGCAATCATCCGTCCAACACTAGTGTACAGTCCAGAATTACACAGTAACGCATTTGGGACTGGAATTTTGTGGTCAGTCTGGCCCTCAAATAACATAGTCAGCCGCCCAGGATCATCCACGTAAAGACCATTTTGAACAAATCCCATTAATATGCTAAAGAACTCTCTGACAGGTCCCTCGCCAACTGCTCTTTCATTTTCAAATTGCACTCGAAGGTTTGAGCGAAAACATGGGTTGGCTTTCTTATAAATGGATAAAACATCTGCAGTGAACTCCTCCGTCATCCGATTTACATAGATTCTCAGTGGTGGGCCATTTTCATCCAGAGTTTCTTGTTTGTACTGTGCAACAGGGTCAGTACAGGTACTGACAGTACTTGAGGATACATGTGCTTCAAATGGTGATTGCATGAGGTCACTGTCTTCTTCTGTACAGTATTCATTACCTGAGTCCCCACTGTTCATTAGGGCACCTTGCAGAAGAAATTGCAAAAAAGGGAGTTCAGTAAATTATCTGTTATGAGACTCTGTAAAGCTTAGGTCATGTTATAAGTATGCACCTCTAAATCGAATGAAGGGCTCTTATTTCAAATGAAATGAAATAACAATTTCAAAACCAAATGAAAGAACAGATAAGTATAACTGTCTCCAATGAAGGGTTCCATGGTAATCAGAAAAATAATTATGTTGGAGCAAAAAAAAATGCACGCAACCTTACCACTACACAATACCAAGGACCTCTGCTTTGTTGTAATAACATCACAGACAGGTAAAGTTCAGAGATCTACCATTATTCACATTTAAGTAATAAACTTGTATAGGTAGCTTACATGTCCCAGCAGACCACTGGATAAGCCTTGATGCAGCCACACTTTTATCTCCTCCACTGTCTGCCAAGATTGCTCGGATAGTGTCTATACTTTTGTCTGGAAAAGTGCACTTAATTCAGCCACAGCATCAGATTCCTA